AGGCTAGATATCCAAAATCCTCGCCTATTGACTCCAAAATATAAAAGAAATATCTCTGGCAGATATAAAAGGTTGTAAGCTGTAAATCAGAAGTATTGTATTTCGAAAGAAACAGTTTGAGGGTAATGACATCATCATTTGTACTGTGCAATTTCATAGTGGGTTTGTGATTCACAAACTCTGTTACCCTCTTAAAAATTGTAAGTAAGTTAAGAATGTTTATGCCTCCTGACTGAAGATAATCCCTGCCTTGCGCCTGTTGTTTGCTGGGATGGTTTCCAGCTGTCCCTTGATCCTGAATTTCAAGAAACGGTTAGAAAATTGATGGGTGGATAAACTGGACATAACTTTTTTTAATATAAAAATACATTTCTATTTCAGCATGTTAAAAATTTGATTTAAAGCTATACTGTATAGTGGACTATGAATAGGCTTGACATGTTGATCTGCTACGTTTTGATTAAACCCAGTTGTTGAGAATACAGTGCAGCTGCAAAACTGGCACTACTGTATCAATGTTGAAAGCTAGCTTCCAGAAACAGTGAGAAAGGATTCCTTCTTCTCCAGTCCCTGTCCGTGGTACAGAAAATGTCATTTTTCGTTCAAAGGGATTTTTTCCAACTTAGATGATTTTAGTAAACCACCACTCTAGACACGTTGGGGAACAGGGTCAAAGCAGCACTCCTCTGTTGCAGAAGTTGGTGGATTTTCTTTTTTTGGTGGATATGAAGACATGGAACTGAATGGCCTTCCTCCCAACTGTACTGTACAGTTTCAAAGACTAAGCTACGAGAACTGTACATGGGGGCTAATTTAGACAGCCCCAGTTTTAAAGGTAAACAAAGTTGAATGCTTTGTATTTCAATGAGAATAAATTAATGTGGCTGGATCAAATCCAGTATCATCTCTGGTTCCCCAGTAGAAGAACTGGGAACTTATAATTACTGTTACTAAAGTATGTGTGCGGCATTTGGATTCAGATCAAACTGCTATTCTTTGAGAACCTTCCAGAAACAATAGAAAAT